ACGCTGAGCGGAGAGAGGCAGGCACAAGACGCCACACGCTGTGTGAGTCTATGATGTGAAATTTCCGGAGGAGGTAAACCCAGAGACAGCAAGTAGACTAACAGTGCCAGGGGAATGGAGGACTGCTGACAGGCATGGGGTTCCTTTCTGGGGTGATGAAGATGTTCTGAAACTAGATGGTGGTGGTAGTTTCATGACATTGTGAATATACTAAAAACAACTACACAGTACATTTTATTTATTTATTTATGAGACGAAGTCTCGCTCTGTCGCCAGGTTGAAGTGCAGCGATGCAATCTCAGCTCAGTGCAAACTCCGCCTCCCAGATTCAAGTGATTCTCCTATCTCAGCCTCCTGAGTAGCTGGGACTACAGGCATGCACCACCACACCAAACAATTTTTTTGTATTTTTTGTAGAGATAGGGTCTCCCCAAGCTGGCCAGGCTGGTCTCAAACTCCTAACCTCAAATGATTCGCCTTCCTCATCCTCCCAAAGTGCTGGGATTATAGGCATGAGCTACTGCATCTGGCCAACTGTACACTTCAAAAGGGTGAATTCTGTGGCTTTTAAACAGGGGCAGACATTTGAACTCGATCTTAACGGATGTGCTCCTTGGGTAGACCATAGCAGGAAGAAAATTCTGGGCAGAAAGAATAAAATGAGGAAAGGCACGGAAGCCACAAAAGAGCAATGCACATTCAGGGAAGTGAACATGGCTATCGCTGCAGAAGAGGGCATATACGCAGGAGTGAGTGGCAGGAAAGGGCCTGGCAATGCAGTGAAGAGGCAGACAGGGAATGTGCTATATGCCGGCCAAGGAGGACGCCATGGGGTGCCTTCCGTGAGAATGAGCCTCCCAGGAGAGTATCATCACCAAGTTGGCTGGCTCAATCCATCTTGTCAGGGAAGCCTCCTTCCGTCAACTCAGAATCATCCAACAACTGCACTCCACGGTGGCAAGCCAACAGTCCTTTTTACATTTATAAGATACATTTATTTACAGTATTGGTTGTTCTCAGTTTTCTTCCCAGCAGGGTCTAGACTCCGTGAGGGCAGCCTTGTTTCCAGTCTTAACTGTGTCAGTCCAAGTACAGGAGGAGCAGCCTGAGGAAGCCCCTATGAGAATAGCAGTTTCAACCAAACGCGTTCGTTTTCCTGACCTCACAGAGCTTTGCTCGTGTTTCCACTCTGTGTGAAACGCCCTCCTCATCACAGATTCATTCAACACTTCGCCCTGATCTCTTTCAAACGCCGCTTCCTTGTGAAGGCCTTCCTTGCCTCCTTGCCTCTACCTGGATGTGAACTCCTCCTTCTTTACAGAGGGTGTGTTTTATACTTTTCTTATGGCACTGATTTCCTCATCTCTTCTATTAAAGTTACTGGGTACTGCTCTCATCTTACACATCCCTTGCCCCTCACCTACTGGAATCCAAACATCTTGCAAAAGGTTTACGCCTTTCTGAGCCTCGCAGATCCCTGCACTGTGCTGGGCAATCTGAACTGAACTGGTCAACCAGCAGCAAAAATGATAGAATCGGAGATAGAAATAACCATGCTCACAAAAGTTTCTAAAAATCCGAGAAGAAACTATACAAAACAGGATGCAGGTACAAATAACAGACAGTGTGTTGAATCGATTTGTGACGACTTGGCTTGTTTATCTCCATCACATGGATTTCATTTTGCTAGAACCCCAGAAGACTCAGACAAAAAGTAATAGCCTCCCAGCTGCGGCGTTCCCAAGTCTGTGGTTTTCCTGTGATATAAACAAAGGACTCTGGAGACACAGTCTCTGTTACTGTTTGCTGGTGTGGGTATGGGGAGGAAGGGAGGGTGGGACGGGGCAGGGTTTGAGGGAAATCCACTGAATGAACTGACAGTTCCTATAAGCAACACCTGCAGTGTTAAAACCCTTCCAACTGTGATTTTATTGAGAAAAAAATTCCACTCTTCCTTTGGTAAGTGTAAAAATTCTTTTACCAGCTGCATTCCAATCTAAAGTGTGTGGCAGTTCAGGAGAGATGGCAGCTGGAACAGATCAGATTCAGGATGCAGAGAGCGCTCACCAGCAGCGAGGGGACAATGAGAGCCTGCAAACGCATCCTCAGAGCCTGTTCTTCCAAAGAGGGTTGGCCTCAATCTGCTTGCTCAGAGTGTCCTCCTCTGAACACAGAATACTGGACGTACCCGTCAGGACCGGACTGGTGAAAAGATCAGCTTTTGGAATAAAACTGTGACATCAGCTATTTTAGGATAGCCACTTCAGTTCATAAAACTCTAAAGCCTACATTTTGGTTAAATATTTACAATCTACTGCCAAACCAGATTCAGACCAAATGTCTGCTTACACAACCTTGTAACATGGTCAGGCCTCCTGATGAGCCGGAGAGGGAGCTAGCATTTAATGAGAACTCACTATGTGCCTGGGGCTGGGCCAGGAAGCAGCACTCAGTATGTGCTTGGGGCTAGACCAGGAATGAGCACTCATTATGTGACTGGGGCTACACTAGGAATGAGCACTCACTACGTGCCTGGGGCTAAGCCAGGAATGAGCACCCACTACGTGCCTGGGGCTACACCAGGAATGAGCACTCACTACGTGCCTGGGGCTACACCAGGAATGAGCACCTCCTATGTGCCTGGGGCTACACCAGGAATGAGCACTCACTATGTGCCTAACCCTAGACCAGGAATGAAGACTCACTGTGTATCTGGGGCTACACCTGGAATGAGCATCACTATGTGCCTGGGGCTATGCCAGGAATGAACACTCACTATGTGCCTAACCCTAGACCAGGAATGAAGACTCACTATGTGTCTGGGGCTAGACCAGGAATGAGCACTCACTATGTGCCTGGGGCTGGGCCAGTCCGATCCATGTTCCGTCCTCACAGGGATTCTGGGATGCAGAGATCCACAGTCTACACAGGGCTGTGGGCCCAAGTGATGTCATGTTGGCCCACACAGGTGAAGTGATTTGCTCAACGCCCACAGGAAACACAGGAAGAGTTAGGTCTGTCTGACTCCAAATTGAGTATTCCTCCCACTGCCCTCTGCTACTGGCCAGTACAACCCCAAGAAATTCCTTCTCCAGAATTTCCAAGAATGCTACAAGAGCCTATGACTCTAGAGCAGACATTGGCGAACACTTTCTACAGAGTCAGAAACTAAATATCTTACTTTTCTTTTTTGCTTTGTGGGCTACACAGTCTCCATTGCAATGACTCAATTCTAGCAGTGTATTGCATAAAGGCAGCCATAAGTTAATAAAGGAACATGGCTATACTCCAATAAAACTATATTTTCACAAACGAGCAGTGGACAAGATTTGGTTCCCAGGCCCTAGTCTGTCGACCCCTCCTCTACAAAGTTCTAGAGTAGCAGCTTCCTGTGATTTGGGTTTGCCATAAAAAAGGCCCATTTCCAACTTCAACAAAAGTGAGTCTCCCATATTCAAGAGAGATAAAAGAGTAGTAAAAGCCATGGTCTAGGCTGCGTGTGGTGGCTCATGCCTGTTATTCCAGCACTTTGGGAGGTCGAGGCAGGCAGATCACCTGAGGTCAGGAGTTCAAGACCAGCCTGGCTAACATGGAAAAATTCCGTTTATACTAAAAATACAAAAGTTAGCTGGGCCTGGTGTTGGCGCATGCCTGTAGTCCCAGCTACTAGGGAGGCTGAGGCGGGAGAATCACTTGAACACAGGAGGCGAGGCTGCAGTGAGCCAAGGTCACACCACTGTACTCCGGCCTGGGCAACAAGAGTGAAACTACGTCAAAAAAA